CCCGTCTCGGCTACATTTCAAAAGCGGCGAGCGAGGAAGCGAGGGAGCCGGACCAGTTAGTTGCCGGGCCCCGCTGAAGACCGACTGGTGACCCACAGGCGGGAGGAATGTGGAATTTCCACCACGAGCTCAGCGCGCCCCACGGAGATGAAATGCCGCTGTGCCCGGACTTTGCAAGTTATTTAAAAGCTCAATCAATGCAACGGTGTTTGAAATCTCTCCTTGACTTTAAGGATTTTTTTTCTCTCACGAGAACCCTGAAAGGTGAATAATAAATCATGGCTGGGTAATTGTGGCGTTTCTACTATTTTTTCTCTTTCACGAGGGGTCCCTGCCTTGAGGTGTTTTGACAAAATAGCTTTCGGCGTTTCTTTCATGTGGGAGAAAACCCCAAGCCTACGAGGGGATAACTCAAGAATTGGTTCCACAATCCCATCTCCTGGCCTCCTCACAGCCCAGTCGGTTTAGAGAGGTCACAGAGACACGTGTGATGCTCCACCAACCCTTTACCTCCAAAAGCAATGGATTACAAAGCGCAAAATCTCTGCGTGAATCAAAAATAAAAGAAAGATTCCAACGGATCGTCTCTCTACCCAAACAACGCTCATCTGCATCGGCAGTCTCAACCAGAGCTGAAACTCCCACAATCCTATGGCTGCGGCCAGTGTCCCCATATAGGCCGCTCTTGAATACACACAAACAACATCAGCGGAGGGCCATGTGGTGCGGCTCCCCAGTGTCGCGACTGCTGCTGGGCTTTTATTGCGACGTTAATGTGCGTCCAGAGACCCTGTTAAGGACACAACAACTACCCTCTGCTCCTAACACAACAACTTGAATGCGTTTTCCACCTGTCCCGTAGTTAACAGCAGCCCTCCGCTACCAACGCCTCTTCAGTAACACCCATTGCTCATTTGAGAGTGCATCGTGCCCGTTCTTGTTCGATATCCAATAAACCGGGCCTCCCTGGACTTTAACAAACTGGTATGTTTGTATACACATTTAAAACCTTAACCTAATCCGTACAACTCTTTAACAAACACGTATTAATGTGCAAACGTTTACACTTCATTGGAGGTGTACTTGTTTACACTGAAGCCTTTGGGAATTAAACTTCTGAGACATAAGCCACCTGCAAAGCCTTAGCACTTGTACAGGCATTTTTATTCGGATGGCTCAACCCCAAAGCTTAAATCGTTTGACTGCACAGCAGCAATCATCTAAATAATTACAACTCTTCAAATTACATACAGTACCATTCACAGGAATATAAATAGTCTACAAAACTTCCAAGTGTCTTCCCTGAGGACATCAACATGGGGAGGTGCTAATTTCCTGTGGAAGCCCTCAAACAGTGGTGTAAATTCCACATTTCCATGGCGGGGGACAGTCTTTCCTTCGGAAAATAACTATTTCAATAAGCACTATTTACTCCCCACAAAGTGATACTACTTTTATTCACCCCCAGGATGCCGATGGATGATGATGGATGATGATGTTTGCTACATTCTCACCGTGAGTCGGGTGCTGCGATGACGGTGCCAGACCTGCCTGACTCCCATTATTGTTTTTTTAGTGCGGTGTCCTTCCCCGCACCTCCGATTAGCACGGGTGGCTACGTACGGTGCAGAAGAAGTTCAACACACACACACGGGACTCAACTTTTACTCAAAAAGTCACGCTTCTCTTGCCCATAATCGACACACAAATGGGAGCGGAGACCGGCCGACCAAGATTCGCGAAGCACTCAGTCGGCATTGAATGCAGATACTTCCAGATAATGTTTTTGTTATTGCACAGAGTGAACTCCTGCACTGCCGCCAAGTGGCTTGCGATTAAGATAATTGCACCGTGCAAGGCTGAGACCACATTAATTTAGCCGGCACGGTCATAGCATACCCCGCCTAGTACACAGTCAAACCATGGCAACAGAATTACTACAGCTGAATGTGTATAATACTATGTTCGAGCACATGGGCGCATAAACTGCCTTGAATACAAATGTATCTCAAGAAGACACACAATAGCTAACTGTAATCAAACAGTGAAGAAGTGATGCAAGTCAGAGCAAGTGCAGGAAGTTGACATATTTCATGCACGTGACCAGGATGAATGGTGACCTTCTGGTTGATGCAGAACAGATTCATATCAGTGTTCTGTACCTCGTAGCTGACAACCCAATGGGGATACCTTTTTTCAAGATCACGACTTACGATCCCAGCCGTTGATGTCTTTTCCCGTTGATTCGATCGCTTTGCGATGTTTCGGAGATTGGGTGACCTAAGGGCTCCTTCGCCCCACTCACAGTACATTACAACAGCACCACCGGGCCGCGGTGGCCAGATGTTATCTCTCTCGCCTGGTATGCAGGAGGTTGTTGGTTCGATCCAGACCCTGACGCCTGTATATTTGGAGTTTGAATTTTCTTCCCGTGGTCCCGTAGAGTTTTCTCCAGGTCCTCTGGTTTTTCCCTCCACATTTATAAACACGCGTTTAGATTATTTGGCTGCTTCTAAAAATTCCCACAAATGGAAATCCACTTTGTTGAGCTATCATTTGTGGCCAAGTCGCCTGTAGAAAAGAGCTTTATAGCTGAGTGGTTATTGACATTACCTATTCAAAGCAGCAATTGCAAAGCCTCTATTGGCAGCGGCCCTGATGTCCCGTTCATACAGTGCCCAACGTGCATCTGTTGCTGCTGCTGTGCATTAAATATTTACTGAGCGTCACCGAGCGGGTTTAATGACGCAATACTCCCCGAGCTTACAAAACTCACAACATACAAATTACAGGCGAGTTAAAAGTCAACGTCTCCCCCCCACCCTCCAATGGCACGGTGAGCAAAATGTATCGACGTAACTTTACGCTTTCAGTGAATTCGCCAGACAGAGCAAGGCACACCGTCAAACACTGCAAATGCCGAATGTGTCAAAATATTTAAAATTACATCAAAGGCGATCAAACAAGGCGGTTGCGGAGGCTGGATTGGGGTGGTTTTTATTCCCACTTCTCCAAGAACCGTCAGCAAATTGTCTTTGGCTCTTACGAGTACTGGGCATTTAAACCGAACCTTTAAAAATCAAAACTTGTATCTCTTTGCTCAAACGAGCGAGAGGGGGAAGGGAGGGGGGTCCATCTCTGTCAGTGGCCATGAACCAGGGGTCAAAATTCCACATTCATATGAAAGGGACCTGTATCTCCACAGGATAAGTGCTTGTTGACTTCCCACAAAATCAATGTTCATTTTGCCAGCCCCAAAGTGATGATGGGCTTCAGGAAACTGTGCTTACACTCGACACAATAACTTTATGCGACGATTATTACAGTTTTATCATGTGCTCCTGTTCTACCGCACGCCGAGTCTCCATTGTAATTATGATGGCAGCACCAAGGTCACATGTTCTTAACCGGCAGGCTGTTTTCATACTTTTTGAAAGCACTTAATGAGACGAATGTACAATTGCATTTTTTGTTCAAAGCTGCGTTAACAAACTGGGAGGTGCATCTGGACATCTTTCAGCTCCCACTGGCCACCAGTGAGGAGCTCTGTACACAGTTGTAGAACTCCCACACTCACAGGGGCTGTGGTCGCCTTGCTGCCACCCAACATTGGAGGGCGGTGGAGTAACACATCTCCCTTCCATGGTCGACAAACATCGATTACCACTTTGGAGGTACTCAGCAATGGTCACCGTATACTGTGACTGGCCCCAGTCATAGGAATGTGGAATTTTACTCGACTGGCCCCAAGGAAGGTACTTAGAGGTAAACAGAACTCGATTGTTGATTTAAGCAAAAACACTTTGACTTCACCAAAGATTACATCGCTTGAAAGAATATTAAAAACAAAGAGGTGGCCAGATAGGTATACTGCTGCGATTCGTGTGTCAGTGCAATTAGCCAGCAATCCTGAGAGCCTGGGTTCAAATCCCATTCCAAGGTCAAACCAGGTTCTCATGAACCAATAGTCTGGTGGTCTAAGCCCAGGCTGAGGCATTCAAATTCATTCCAGACCCCCCTATACAAATGATGAGGCCTCATTCTTTAATCACCAATAATTATTATCGTGGGTCTTTGTCCAACATCCTTCTGTGGTATCCCTCAAGGGCCACTTAAGAATGGGCCGTGTTGTTTATGAAATCCTGTCCACTCGCCTCTCCCTGCGACTAGGGGAACACACGGTGGGTGTGGTGGGTGCTCTCCAACGAAACGAGCCAGCTCTTCAAACTAATCTGCAGCAGCACCGGGACCGACGGGGGGAGGAGGGGGGCAGCGGAGGGGAATGTGACATTCATTTTAAACAAACGTCAGACCGGCCAATTTAAACGGCGACGTTTCCCAAAACAGCGCGCAGGGCCTTCTCCGCGCACAGACGCACAGGCAACTTGTCATCATTCCCCTCCGTCGGTGATACTCAACAACAGCAACAACACAGCGGCTCCTGGCCTCGAAGCTTTCCCCCCCCCTCCACCTCCCCAACCAATGCAGCCTAGACCCATGTGCTCAGAGAACTTGGCTCGACCATCGGTATATCGCAAGTTCAATTCCCGGGTGATGTCAGCTCGTCCAATCATCTCTCCACGACTGATAAAATTATCAGGAGCACCGTTTTTCAAAAGACACGGAAGTCTGTTCCCACGTGGACTGGTCCCCTACCATGGAGATGCTGAATTGCCACTGCTGGCTCAGTGGAGAAGGGCACCATACAAAGGAGGCTGGCCACATCGTGGTCTTCCTCTCGCTCTCGCACTTTCGTCAACGCACCCAGCTCGTCACAGAAACGAACCGCTATTGACACTGCCCCAGGTCATCGCAGCTCCGTGCCAGAGACTCGAGACCACACATCACGCCGGGCCACAACTCCTCCACGCTTGCGGGGCCGAAAGCTCACCGTGCAAACAAGCAGCGTTGCAGTGGTGGGCGGTGTGCGGTGGGTACACGGTTACACAGCAAAACGGAGACGAGTGTTAATGGATGTCTGGTGGGGAAAATGCAAATACCTTGTGTAGTCGCCTTTAGCCTCCTGCAAAACAATAAACACAGCAAAGGGTTTTAATCATCAACATAGCAAACATGCAAACACACACACACAGCAATCACGCACGAGACAATGCGCATCAAGATCTGGGTACAGTGGCACGCTTTAAATCCCCCCCACCCCCGCACACTGGAGGCAGGGTTGGTGGATCACGCAGAGATCAACACGTGTGCTGCATGAACTCTAAACCTACCGAGTCTCCCCAAATCCAAGACTTGAGCACCATGCCACGAGATAGGCAATGCCACAGACTGCAGGGTCATCACAGCCGATTCTGCCGATGCCACTAGACTCGCTCGCGCCATTAGTTAAATATCCACCCCAACGGTGTTCCTCCGTTTGGCTTCAGGCCCTTCCTGCCTTGGTTGCCGATCCCTGGGTGGCGGTGGCAGAGCTCTCCGCTCTCATGGACACAAGCCCCACTCATCACAACCTGCTCCTCCAATTCTTCTCTTGAGACAACACGGCTGTAGCATTACAAGCATTTACTCCAAGGACCTGGGGTTATATTCTAGTTTGCTTTGTTAAAGAGTCCAGCAGCACAGAGACCAACAGAGTAACAGGCATCATTCCTGGCACTCAACACTCTCTACGGGTTGCGTAGCGGGTCCGGCGAAGCTCGCCCCCAGCCCCTGTGCATCAGGCCCCACGTTACCCAGGCACACGCAGCATCCCCACCTGGCGTACACGATACCCCTGCATGCCGGGACGCTCCGTTGACAGCAAGCGCGCGCAGACGAAACCGTACACTTGAGCCAGATTCATAAATTAAGCAACGGCTGATGAACTATTGACGAAACGTCCTTTTGTGGGTGCCTTCTGGGTCACGCGCTCAAAGGGCCCCCCCCCACCCCGCCCCCACCCCGCCCCCACCCCCCCCCCACCCCCCCCCGTTGTGAAGCGGAATCGAGAGCGGCCCCCGCCACCGCGTAACCGCAAAGCCGCGTTGTTCCGCATCTCTGAGCGCCCGGGGGAATTTAGATGTCACCGCTCGGGCGCAGGCGAGGGGTGCACCACCACCTCTCCTCGGTGAACGCGAAACTTTTTTCCTGCCGTTCAAATCCCCGAACGGCAGCAGCGCCTCCGAAAGAGTCAATCGCGTTAAAGCGGTCAGCGTTCGAGCAGCACGGGGTTCGTATCTTGCTTGCTTTTTTAGAAACGTGGGGTGGCTTGGCGAATCGTGCAGATCTCCGTAGGTTGCTGCATTGTTGTGTTTGGATCGCTTGAATGCAAACCCCATGGCAAAACGTTGGTTCCCTCCGGCTGCCGGCTGTTTCCTCACAAGTGCATAACGCACAGAGAGAAATCGGTCAAATATCCCAAGGCGAGACTCTTATAGCAAAGAGTGTTTGGATGAATTGAAGCTCCGCCGGACGAATAAAGGACATTAATTACGATTACAATAAGGAAATATGAGCACGTGTGTGTGCGTGGTTACTCTACACACCACCCAAAGGGAGAACGCTTACAAGCACACAGAGATATCGGTACGAACGCAAAGGATGCCGTTCGAATCTAAAACCCTCAAACAAAAGCAGAACCGGATGTGGAGCGACCCTCAAGGGGAGAATCACAAAACCCGCCTTGGAACCCTTTCAGAGTGTAATATTGCGTCTACTAAGCCACACGTGCTTCACTTGCAGCATGTTTGCATTGGCAAAGAGCATCAAACTTGGCAACAACAAACAATGTACAATGTAACTGTGGTCTTGGCCAAACATCGCAATGCAGGAACATGTCCTGCACTTTTCCAAAAATGGGATTACACACATGGCAGCACCTCCTACGTACGGTGCGAAAGAAGTTCAACGTCCATGCACGGCAACATCGCCCACCCCCTGCTACGAAACCTTGGCAGGACCCTCCTGTAAATTAGTCTTGCGACTCAGCGAGGCGTGCGTGGGTAGACAAGTGTGTTCGTAGTAATACTACTGATGCGTCTTGGGTAGGTGACCAGGAGTCGAACCCAAGGTGGTTTCGCAGCGTTGCTGGCTCAGGTTGACCCCCGCGAGCCATCTCCTGACATCGGGTATCAGTTTACAACCACTCAGAGAGCTCTAAAGTTTACCAAACCATTTCCTAGAGCTAAATACATTCCAGCCCTTATACATGAATATTGAACAAAGGTGTGCACTGTGTCTAAATGCAGACGGAATGTTGTTAAACAGAAATGAGAGCGCACACGCGCGCTCACACACACACAAACACAAGTGTACACCCCCCATTTAAACACTCAAACTCGAGCACACACGTACAACATCACACACACACAGAGAAACAAAGACCCCCTATCACTGCCTTACAGACTGTTGAGGTGGGTGCTGTTCTCGGGTACCTATTAAGGTTGGCATGGCACACGAGGTGACTCAAGCGGCGTCGCACCACGGCTGGTTGGTTACACACCGAACCAGGTACTCGTTTACAGCTGAGCCTACTGAGAGGAAGCCCGGGAGAGATTTAGTCTCCATTGCCACTGATGTTGTAGATAGCTAGGAATCAAACCCAGGTTGCAGCCATGCGTGGTCCACTACACCGCCCCAAACACACACACACAAAACAAAGACAAACATCTCCCCCTCCCATATAGCCTTTAACTGAGCAATAGGGCAAGTGCTGTTCGCGAGCACTATGAAGGCCGGCAGGAAACACCAAAGGGTGGGTGGCCAACACCCATCTGTGTCTCCCCAGCGCTAAGGTTTTCTGCACACCGCACCAGATACTCATTTCAGGCTGAGTCGATCTAGTGGAGGCCCATGGGACTAGAACTCGGGTCACCGGGTTCGTAGAGCGACACGCCAAATGCTGAACTGCCGCTCCTCTCACACACACAGATGTGTACACACACACAATCACATACACGCTCTCCTTATGCATCAAAATCCCACTTAACCTTGCAGTCTGGTTAAGCGCAACAAAGCGAACCAAATAAACCCTGGCAGTACAAACACGTTGCTGGTCTCAAGGTTTGTTTATGAAAAGTGCCCTCCAGTCAAATCTCTACCCAGAAACGCCACACTGAGCATCTATCAGTTTATCTCAGCCAGGGTTGTTCGGCCAATAGCCTTATTGAGTGTTCACGTGTGGAATATAATTACACTTTATTCACGGTCACTTTCACGTTTTATTGCATGCATCATTTGACTCGTGCCCTATATATATGCATGCTAAAAGCAAGATAATATCTTTCCCACGCAAGGTGGATTTCCATCAGCTGCCAAACAACTATGCCAGCCAAGAAATAACATCAAAGGATAAGTGCCATGATAAAAAAGTTCAACTCAGGCTTTTAACAACAGAGAGAGTGGCTGTGTCTGCAAGAGAGACGCAGAACACAGAAGCACCGCTGCACACAGACAGAGAGAAACTCCCCACACAAGCCCCATGCAGTCACGGTGGCTTGGACGGAGCTCAGAACATATATTTGCCCCAACATGGGCATTGTGGGGTGAAATATAAGAATTATTAGAGACCATTGTGGGGGTTTTTAGTTTCTAAAGATTTTGGCGTTTAAACACCATGATCTTCCGTTACGCACCGATTACGCAAGGAACAATCTCGTTTGTATCGTCATGAAAACCCACGTGATGATGATCGCCGTGGTGCTGCAGATCGTCTGATTGACAAAGCCACAACAACCACAATGGTGTATTCAAGTAAAACGTTACAGCCCCTTTCCGACAAGCCACTGCTGGATCAAGGCCTCCCCACGTCGTGTCAGGCATGGGAGGTGTTCGGCTCAGGACCGGTTTCGCCACTGATGTTAGCCGTGGCCCAAAATCTAAACGCAGGTCACCGCACTAACCACCCCCAATGTTTGACATGCATATATAGTAATTTATTTTACTCAGGAATGGTCACTGAATCTCCACACCGTTTTTTTTCAGAACGGCCTTGCTTATATTCCCCCCCCCCCCGCCAAATTTAACCTTAAGGACTAGTTCGTATGTAGAAATAAATGTATTTAGCTGGAGAATAATCACACACAAGGAGTAAGCGCTCAGCTCTACAGATGCGAATCATGATCCCACTTGTCATCTCCTGGCCATCTCGCAGCTCAGCAGATGTGGAGGGTCACAGCACGTCGACAATAATGACCCACCCACTGCACATCCAGAGCGCTGGGATGTAGCAAAATGCAACTGAGACCGCAATAAACACAAACTAGCAATCACGAAAAATGCGTCTCCATACCGAGGATGTGGTTCGCGGAGAATTACTGCAACCCTTTTGTGGTTTGGGAGTCTCTGGTTAATTCCCAAAATGTTCAGTGAGAGATTAATGAAAAATGTTAAGCAGGACTCCCGCCTGTGAAAAGTCTCCGCTCATAAATGGATCGCCGTTATCGCTCGTATCTTATTCACCTTTGTATCCACTTGCACCAGATGGCAGTGCTTCTTGCTTTTAACGGGGTCCCATGGTTCATATGGAGTGCTCTTGCCAATAGCGTCTGGTAAAGCCAGCAGCAATTGTTTAACAAGTCTGACGAGACATGGAAGGTTAAAACTGGTCTAGAGTTTCCCTACTTTAACCAAATGCTTCGTTAAAATAATTGTCTGGAAAACGAACAGACAGATGGACTAACATGTAAAGTTTATTTTTTTGTGGAGACATAGAACAGAGTTCACTCGCACTTGCTTTTAGCAGATGGCAGGCACACTCCGAGCGATAACAATGATAGCATTGCACTAAACATACATGAGCGGGCAGGTGTGGTACTCAATCAGGAGCCTGCGACTCCACACAAGCCGAGCGACGCAGCGGCCAGCACCGCCGAGCACCGGCAGGTGAGGCCCTACACAGGTGCGTGTGCGCGTGCACGAACGGCGCAACGCCTCTCACCTGCAGCGCGTACGCGGCCAACGCAAACGCCGTCTCGGTGTCCACTTCGACCTGGCCCTGCACGGCACGGAGGGGGACACGGGGGAGCAGCGGCAGCAGCAGCACGGGCGACAGCTGAACACCGACTCGCACAACACAGATCTCTCTCCCTCCCCCCCACCAGCCCTGCTGCACGCAGAAGATGAACCCACCCAGAGGCACCGGCCCCGGGGAGGAGCCAGGACTGTTCCATTTTCAACCGGTGAGCAGGGGAGCGGTGGGGGGGGGGGGTTGAGATGTTGGGGGATGTGGAGAGATCTTACTCACTTGGTAGAGCTCGCCTCTTGCTGACGTGCGCAACTTTGCACGCAGCGGTAGAGACCCCAGGGTGAATCAGGCTCTGCCTGGCCACATTAGGTATGGGGCGATGCTCATCTCTGTAAGCTGCTCTCTGAAACATTGGTGGAAATTCCATATTGCCATGGCGGTGGCTAGTCTTTCCACTGGACAGCCACCGTTGAATTCCCATAAAGTGGGAAGAGTTTATTCTACCCCAGATGAACAGTCCGATTTAAACCCTGACCAGGATTTTAACTTGCATGAAAAGGCATTGCGGTGGGTCTACTCGCGAAACAATGGATTCTGTGTCGATTTTGGTGTTCGCTTATCAGGCACGGCACAGAATTGCTCATAAATATTGTGTGACATGTTTGTTAATTTAGGTCCAAAGCTGTCTGTGGCTTAAGACCATCAGAACACGTGGCCATGAATGATAATTTGAACATCACCGGCATTGTGATCAACAGAATCCCACAAAACATGATCCTAAAACTCAAGCAAATTATTACAATTTAATGGCATCGCTTATAGCCTGTGGCTCATCGGGATCTACGTGTGAAATGCATCTTGCAAGTGTAAATTATTATTATATTTAGCTACCAGGCAGCTAAAATAAAAGAGCTGGGAATACAGGAAAGACATTGTGCATTTGTTATGAGTAACAGATGCGGGATCTGTGCAGAAGGAAGGAAGCGATGGCGGGGTGTGGTGGAAGCAACTGGCAATCTTTAAGAGTAAATAAAGAACTAATATGAAACTATAAACTATTTTTATTTTACCAGGTAAGGCCCACTGAGCTATCTAGCTCTTTTCAGAAGCGACCTGGCCACAAATCATAGTCCAATGAAGTGGCTTATTGCGGAAATGTATAGCAGCCAAATATTCTAAATGCATGTTTCAGAATGCGAGGGGAAAACCCGGATGACCTAGAGAAAAATCAACGCGAACAGGGGAAGAACACGCAAACTTCAAATATACAGCAGCAGGCGTCAGGGTTGGGATCGAACCCACGACCTCCTGTACACCAAACGAGGTAGTTAACATCTCCTAGCCACCGCAGCAGAAAACAGACATTCTGCCAAGGTGCAGCAGTTACCAAACTGGACTTCCAGACATCGCCGGTTTGTCCTCTCTGCCAGGGGAAGTTAAAACAACGGAGCTGCTGCTGCTGCTGCGGCGACTTTCGTGAATCTGCCCAGGGGTAGCGATGGGTTACGGTGAGTCAAGAGGCAGTCCCACAAGCGGTGGAGTAAAGTGTGGGCACTTCCCACTCTTCCAAGACATCCGGGCCAGCGTGGAAGAGGAGGCCAAACACCCTGGGAAGCGGGCTGTCACTCTGGAGCGAGCACTTTCAGGACTGCGCCTTGACCTCTTTTTACATTGAAAAGCATTTCCTTTGAGTTGACCGTGTTTACGTGTACGTGTGTGTACGCGTGTGTACGCGTGTGTACGCGTGTGTACGCGCGTGTGCACGTGTGTACGTGTGTACGTGTGTACGTGCGTGCACGCGCGTAAGTGTGTGCGCGTACGTGCGTGTACATGCGTGTGCATGTACGTGCGTGTGTGTGCGCGTGTGTGCACGTACGTGCGTGTACGTGCGTGTGTGTGTGTACGTGACTGCATGTTTGCAAGTGTGTGTACTTGTGGGGAGCTGCAGTGGATGTGGTTTGTGCGCTGCACTACAAACCCGACGACCCGAGTTAGATTCTTGCTAACGATCAATAACAGTGGTTATGTGCATCAGTCCTGGGCCTCCCCTAGGTCGACTAAGCCTTAAATAATGACGTGGTACTTCGTGTAAACATCAGCACTTGGGAGAACAAAGGCGGACCGGGCGTGGTGCTGGACACCCACCCCCTCGTGTGCCTTCGTAAGTGCCCGCTAATAGCCATGTTGGGGGAGCTTTGTCTTTTCCGTACGTGTGAGCATGTCTGTCCGTATGCGTGCACGTGTGTGTGTGCACGTGTGTGTGTGCACGTGTGTATATGCTCCACCACGTCTGTGGCTGGATGTGCTAGTATTGTCCTTCCCCGCAATTTGGAATAGCACGATTGGCTACGTACGGTGCAAAAGAAGTTCAACACACATACATGTACGTGTGTGTCTGGGGATCCGGTGGCCGGAACGTGCTTCTGCCGTCGTCATAATCATCATTATTATTATCCAAGCTGTGGGGAGTCTCGACTCACGCCAGCCACCGTAAGAGCCGAAAATGAGTTAAAGAGCAGCAGCGGCAGCGATTCGCAGGGGCGCGCCGCTAATCCTCGCCCCCTCCCTCGCCCCCGGGCTCCGCGCCAACTCAATTACTGCGCGCGATGTTTTTAAGGTGGAGAGAGAAGGGTGCCCCCCCCTTCCCCCCCCGTGCTTTGCACTTAGAACAGCGCTAATGTTGTGGCCCTTTGTTGAATTCAGCCCGACAGTGCTTGCTGTGCAGCATTGCTTTTTTTTTCTTTCATTGAACAGTGCCCCATAGTTTAGACGGAGTGCTCTCACCAATAACATCTGGTGACCCGGCTAGCAGTTGTTTAACACGTCTTCTGACGCTGATGATGAGACCTAGAAATTTCAAAACGGGTGCAGGGCTGGCTTGCTTAAACGAATGCTGATGGATAATAATGGTCTTTAAAGCCAAGAGGCTGAAGGACTTAAACATAATTTAGTCCTTGAGCTTTTACAAAAGTTTTTACCCGTAACATCCAACAGTTTGAGTGCTTGTTCCACTTAACCAGGTTGTGTGCACAGGCGTCATCATCGTCATTCTTAAAATCTAATCAAGATCAATTAATCAGTCGCTCTTCGTGGGAAGTCTAGGGTGGTAATCCAGCAGAGAGACTGGCCCTTGCCATAGGAATGTGAATTGTTACCACTCCGGGCTGATAATGGATACGAGTATTTGTTCAATGCTCCTCTGAGCCGGTAGACACTTTTAAATTTTGATTCGCAAACTCCTTAGGGAAGCACAACTTCAGTCGAACTAAAAATGAACACGAGTGGACTGATGAACGCCGTCAGATCAGCATGGAGGCAGCACCGCTGAGATTCTGAGTCTGCATCTCCAGCCACTGACCACTTTGGTGAAGCCTTGACGTTTGTTCAAAGTTGATCGACTCAGCTTAGTCGCTAGTGGCTGTGTTTAATGTACACATTGAGATTTGTTGGGTTTTTTTCGATCTTTAATTAGCAAACTGTAATAAGGGTAAAATATTTTGTATTATCTTTAATTGTATAAATGTACTGGATAAGTGACATGCACATAATCACTCCATAGAGCAAAGAAGAAGGAGCAGCGTCTACTGTGGAATGACAGAGGCCAATTGAATTCACGGCAGAAACCGTAGCTCAGGTTCTGAAGAAGCTCCCGGCACGTGGACTCAAACGTCGGACACGGTGCCGTACGACGACACACGGCACGGCCGGACAGTGCATCGGTGATCTACGGAGCAGCAGCAGCAGAGCGACCATGAAGATCCACGCAGGGCCAGGAGCGGCCGCTCCAGGGTGGCCTTGCAGGGCCTCTCGCCCCAATGCGACGTGCGCCTCCTCTGGATTGGAAAACGCCGATCAGAGAAATAAAACTAATTTTCTAAAAGCTGCGATCAGTCACTGGTCACTGGGCAAAGACCAACGTCTCCATATTCCTCCTGCTTTAATCTTTGGGTGCTGGAACCCAATTTATTTTATTCAAGACTCTCAGCGGTGCCAGCCCAGTTCTCAGACACGGCCATTATGAGCTCCCCCCCTGCTTTTAAAACCTCGGAAGCACAGACCGCTCTCACAGACACCACCTCGCCCCCACGCAAGCAAAACAGTGCTCTCCGCAGGCCGCCCGTGTTTGCTCGAGGTGCCCGTTGTTTGAGTTGGAAACGCATGAAGGCCCCCTCCAGTGGGAGGACATGCTCCCCAAGCGCTCTGCTCCAGCGTGCAGGAACGTTGGTGAAACGAGCGGGGGGAGGCACGTGCGTGCACGTGGAGCTCACCGCTGAGAAACACCGGCCCGATGGCTCGGGGGGAGGCAAACGTGTAACAAGAGAGGAGCCATTGCATCCACCCAGCTCTAACATCATCATCATCCATTGGGTTTCGTCTACCGTCTGCCAACATTCGACTACGAATTACTGGTTTCCCCCAGGAAAAAGTATGGTTCCCTCTTCTGGGGTGATGAATCAAAGTGAACATGTAGGAATGGCAAGAGGAAAGGCCAATCCATTAAATGAGCCTACACCTTTTAATATTATGGATTTTAATATTATTTTATTCCTATGCTTGTTTACCCTGGGAAGCCTCACCAAGTTTCATGACTCTTTTAGGAGGGTCCTGCCAAGTTTTTGAAGTAGGGAGGCGATGAACGCTACACTTAAACCCAGGTGAGCAAGTCGTGAGCCTCATGAAATTTAGTCAATTAGGACCGTCACGTCGGCACAAGTAGTATGCACTCTTGCACAAACCACCAGGGGAGCTCTAACGTGCACCGCGAAGCACACGGCGCTGTTTGTGAGTAGTACGCCGGCCCGCAGTATTAACCGGGGCGGCCGCTCGGCTCGAACCACAGACGGCGAGACGTTGTGGAATCGCTGGCCATGGTGACCTGCTGACTCCACCTCTGGGTGCCCGCAAGCCGGCGAGTGATCGCAGCACGTGGCCTCGTGCGCACACGGACCGCCGCTGGGGCAGAAATGAAGACGCGAATTCCTAGCGGCCGCCAAAGCGTCGCCAGGCAGCCAGGCGAGGGAGAGCGCGGCACCACCGCCAACGGCCCCGCGTCGTGGTAGCGCGCACGACGAACAGGAGCTACAGAAACCATTTGCTGGAGCGGGCGAGCGAGTCGGTGAGCGAGTCGGTGAGCGAGTCGGTGAGCGAGCGGGCGAGCGAGAGGTTGAGCAAGTGGGCGAGTGGATGAGCGAGCGGATGAGTGGGTAAGCGAGCGGACGAGAGGACAGCAACTGGATGGGGGAGCCTGGGGTAGGCCATCCTGGGTGTAAGGGTGGACGTGAGGTGACGAAGGCTTTGTTCTCCGTGGCCCCCGCCTCCTCCTCCTCCTCCTCTTCCCGGGGAGCCGGGAGCCTAAGTGAAACGAGTCTGGCTGCTGCTGTGGCCCCAGGTGACTTTTCCGAGCGTTCGCTGGCATCCGGACAATGCATGTACGTTGAACTTCTTTCGCACCCTATGTAGCCTACCGTGATACATCGCACAATGCTGGCCCCGCTCATGCGGCACACAGCTCGCGTCCGACAAGGTAAAGCGGAAGTCAGCAGGACGAGGAGTGCGGTGTCAGTGGGGCACAGGGCAGTTCCTAGACAGAATTGGACGCGCAGCAGCACCCTCGATCCCTTTGCCCAACCCCGAGGGCTTGCAGGGCCACAATGGCCGCGTTGTCTCGCCCGCCGCACCGCGGGCAATCGCCGCGCCCCTCTCTCTCCTCCTTCCCTCACACTGCTGCACTGTGGAATTCCCTCCCATTGTCTCTCCCCCCCGCCACCCACCCCCAAGTTCTTATGATTTTACTCGATTCAAAAAAAGCAAAAGTGTCAATTTTAATGCAGCACCTATAACGTTTTACTCGAATCAGAAAAAAAATGAACAGACCTGTTGTCTTCTTTGGTTCTTTCGGTAAAGTCACGTAGAATGAGAATAAAATAATAAACAGATAAAATAAAATAACACAATAATATTTATCAGTTTATTATTTTATTCTCATTCTACGTGACTTTACCGAAAGAACCAAAGAAGATGAATCATTGCAGTCACGAAAGCTTTAAATCGAAATTTAGACCTGTTGTCACCTTATAACTCTGCTTGCAACGTGCAGTGGGATTACCGTCGCTTGGCACGCAACGGGCGCGATTACTTTTTTGCGAGATTAGTAATCCAGGGACGTCCACCGAGGAGATGGAGGGATGACATCGGTCCACGTGCAGGTGACGGATACATTTCTGCATCTCAGGAATCGTCGTGAGAGGTGGTGGTGGTGGCTTTGGGAGGCCTTCATCCAGCAGTGGATTGTTCATGGCTGATTAAATTATTTTCTCTCATATTTTGTTTGACTTTTTTCAAAATGTTCCAAAATTTATCTAAGAGGGGGACGCGGAAGAGTCGGAAGCTTGGGTTTGCTTACGGACAGCAACAGCAGCAGTCAATGCGCACCGATCACTCTACTCGGGCCTCCAGCCACAGTACAATGCTCTCATGTCTTGGTCTAACTCAACCTCGTGCCTTAACCACTACCAAGTGATCAGAAGCGTAATCATTACAAAAAACTATACTGCTGTACTTCCAAAATGCCCAATACATTCTCATACTACATTACTTCTAAACAGCGAGCCGATCAGTGATCAGACAATCTGTACGCTCCACCTAGCACTGCGCGCAGCCTGGTTCACGGCGCGTCGCACGCGATGCAACAACACAATCACGCAATGACACTGATGCGGGATGAGTTCAACGTGGGTCGCCAGCCACTGACAAAATTAGCCAAAATCAATAACTACAGACTGGCTCCAAGCATATGACCTCGTTGTTAAATATTCAAATGTGCGTTAAGACCCGACAATGCCACGTACAGGGCGCTCTCTCTATATATGTTTATAACGTTCGTGCTCACTACAGAAATTACTGAAATTAACGGTGCTAATGGAACTTGAACAAATAACCTTCGGAAGGTGGAAGTAAAATATGTCAGTCGATCTTACGACGCCTTACATGCATTAAAATGTTTATTTACATGGCACTGCATACTTAGCCAACTCAACAATCCCCATTGTGCCCATTTCAAGGGATGGGTTCTGAAAGACTGGCTTTGTGTCTCACGAGTGTACAAACCTAAAACACAATGGGCCAATTTCCAATGGTGGCAAAAAGTTGCACTTTTGCGTGCTAACGCCATTCCAGAGCGAAGGTATGCTACGTTCATATTTTTTTTAATTTTGGTTTTAAATTTCCTGGACAGAATCGCAGCCTCTCGGAATGTACGCATCAGCCTCCGTTCCGCGTAATATAATAACGCTTTCTGAGAAAAGCCGCGGCAGAGATAATATTTTGGCATTTAAAAAAATGTAATGCAGCTGGATGAGTGGGCCACAAAAGCTGGACCCCGCTTGCCCATTCAGCCCCCGCATGCACTTAGCACCGCACTATCAATTAAGCATCTCAACGCAATCAGTGTCCCTCATTTAACTTAAGTGGGTGTGCAACAGTGCTACGAACCCTGCAACCTGAGTTCGATTCCACAACGGCGTTTCTCCCACCTGCACCAACTTGCACTGCAATTTCACGAGAAAATATTGCTTGGCCATGAATGTTACAAAAATTTCAGGGACAAAATCATAGCCTTACTCATGATCAACATAATGTAGGGGAGTTATTTAAATGTGGCCAGGTATCCAGCCATATTGCTTTTGCCATTCTCGTGATCTGGATCATCCATGCAATGAGACTGCCCTGGTCTCTCTCGAGTTCTCACCTGGTGGCAGTGGGGCACAGGTCAGAGATGGCACCGAGCCAATGCCAGCAATTCCACACTCCCGTGGCAGGGAAAGCGATTTTGTCGCACGACAGGCAATGCCAACTTCCCACAAAGTGGCACGAATGTCACCAACCCTGGACTGGGATGTGGATCGATGACGCCCAATTGTGAGACGGGCACTATAACCACGGTGCCACGTGGCGAGATTACAATCGGTCGGTCACTAAGCGTCCCTTTGTCTGCACACGTACGAGTCCGAGTGCAGGCTGTCCGATGTTACCTTGTGCACCAGCGCCTGGGCGTTGAGGTAGAAGAGCTCCACCGTGGTGGAGTCCTTGAGGAAGGCGATGTCCTCGATGTAGAATCTGCGTGGACGGAGAGGCAGCGGGGCGAGGCGCATCATCAAGCATAGTCTTCGTATCGGATTAAATAAATTAGACAACTTTAATACAACTGCCGGCAGAATACGGATGCAAATGCAGGTTTGTGAATCGTTGCCTCTGGCAACGCGTGGATGATGTCAGCCAGGTGCGCAGCAATGCAAGCAGTAGCAGGATGGATCCCCGACCACGATGCACAACACAGCAGTGGCAAGTCGCATCTCGACCTGGACTGGTCCTCCTCCAGGACCACTCGGCATAAAACAATGCGATGAAGCAGTTCCATCTACCATTCGTAGTGGTTGTGGCCGGTGAATTTATTGTCCTTCCCCCGCACCTCCGATTAGCAACGGTTGGCTATGTACGGTGTGAAAGAAGTTCAACGTACGTATATACCGTACGTACAAGCACGGTTATCTCTGCGCCACGGGTGTGGCGATAGCAGCCCCTCCACCCCCTCTCCCCGTGCGTTGTGTCGACATCAATAGGCGGCCGCTAACAGCGCTCTCGGTCTGCACGTCTAAACGAAGGCCATCTTGCGGTCTGCACGTCTAAACGAAGGCCATGTTGCGGTCTGCACGTCTAAACGAAGGCCATGTTGCGGTCTGCACGTCTAAACGAAGGCCATGTTGCGGTCTGCACGTCTAAACGAAGGCCATGTTGCGGTCTGCACGTCTAAACGAAGGCCATGTTGCGGTCTGCACGTCTAAACGAAGGCCATGTTGCGGTCTGCACGTCTAAACGAAGGCCATGTTGCGGTCTGCACGTCTAAACGAAGGACATGTTGTGGTCTGCACGTCTAAGCGAAGGCCATGTTGCGGTCTGCACGTCTAAGCGAAGGCCATCTTGCGGTCTGCACGTCTAAACGAAGGCCATCTTGCGGTCTGCACGTCTAAACGAAGGCCATCTTGCGGCCTGCACGTCTAAATGAAGGCCATCTTGCGGTCTGCACATCTAAGCGAAGGCCATGTTGCGGTCTGCACGTCTAAACGAAGGCCATCTTGCGGTCTGCACGTCTAAACGAAGGCCATCTTGCGGTCTAAGCCAAGGCCATCTTTGTATTGGTGGTGGTGTTGGCGGCCCCCATCCAGGCGTTGGTGGGAAATGACCGCACAGCTTTCCTGTTTGTAGTGAGGGTGTAGCGAGCCGTGCCGCGTGTGTTCATGCCGAGACCCCGGTCACCTAAAGCCCACCCCTATCGGCTCATTAAAAAGGAAATAATATTTCTGGGGAAACATCCTGGGGAACTCGTGAGACGTAAAAGCAAATAGTGGGAGCCGATTCTTTTATTAATGAACCCCCCCCCACCCGCCTCAACCAAACACAATGAAAACGAACTGCATTTGTAATAAAACCAAGAATTGTGTGACAAAAAAACTCAGGAAAAATAAACGCAGTGAAATAAAAAGCAGCAGAGGCTATTTGATGTTTTTGAATGGAAGACAATTTGGGTGGTTCAGGTGGCACAAATGGCCGTGTCGGAGACACCAAACAAGATACATGGAGCAGAGCGAGGCTCACACCCTAGAGGAGAGGAAACGCGAAGCACAGAGCTGCTGGATTCACCACTTGCCGTCCTGTGTGTTGTAAAGCTAAAAGCTGCGAGCGTCCCCCGCACCTCCGACGGGCACGGTTGGCTACGTACGGTGCCAACGAAGTTCAACATACACACGTACGCAACGTTGAGAGGGCGTAGCAGCTGTTGTTTCACAGCCACCAATTGCTACAAGCATGGGCTATCTATCGCGGGCTGTCCAGCACGGTGTCCGAGCTTTGTGAATGAGAGAATGAGCAAGCAGGCGAGACCGAGCGGCGCCCCGCCGCAGCCACGCCGACGGCAGCGCGACCACCAGCCACGTGGGGACGTCAGCAGGGCAACGCGCACAAGCCCAAGTGGTGCGCACGTGGTCACACGATCCAAACTGTGGCCCGTAGAGTAAACAACCGTCATCTGCGCACCTTCAACGGATGAGGAGAAGGAACAGCAAAAGTGCTCAAACTCTCTCTCCCGAAACCCTGAACGTATCGCCGCTGCCGCCGCTGCCGCCGCTGCCGCTGCCATTGTGCGCGCAAGGGTCGAGCAGAACGGTGACAGGCTGGTGGTGACCCCTCGCCCGTGGGACTCCGGGCACGACGCCCGGAGGAGGAGCATGGAGACGCATTTGAAAGCCGCAATGGTGGCGTTTACTTTTTTCAGCGACACCGCGATGAAATCGTCTCTTGTGCAGAAGCTAGATGGGACCGTTGCATCGCAAGACCATGAGAGATAGCAATGGCTTGGGGAGGCCTTCATCCAGCAGTGGATCAATCATGGCTAATCATAACGATGCACGGCGCCATACTGTGCTGTAGCCAGGAGCCAGAATTGGAAATGTGAAGCGCAAGTTTTGATTTGTATTCACGGAAGCAACGTTCCACTCCCGTGGTGTTGTGGATCAATATTGGTTTGCTAACGTCATAAAATAGCACGCGATTGTGTTTTGTTTTGTGCATTCCTTTCAACGGAGCTCTCAAGGGTTGCATGGTCTCAACTGGGTCACGAACAACCGTACAAACCAGGGACAATGGGAGAGAATTAGCCCTTGCAGTAAATTCAGTTGTGGGCTTGCGTCGCAGAAAGACGTGCACGCTTTATTTAGCAGACAGCCTCCTACGCTTTAAGACTTCCTCGCTCGAGAGCTACTAAATCTTGACAAGCCGGCTCAGGGGAGATACATTAATATAAAAAATACTATGGGATACAATTTGCATAATTCGTAACGCAACTTTATGCGATGGATCCAACAGTGCAGTGGCCGAGCGACTTGCTGTACTGCCAGCTCCTGGGATGCCTCACAGCCCAGAGGCCCTGCTCATGTTACAAGTCTCTCCGATTTCCCCAACACTTTCCTCTGGAGCGGCGCGTTACTGGCATGTTACAGGCGTGTTACGGGCGTGCGCTCCGAAAGCTGGGACGTGTGTATGCTGAACTTCTTTCGCACCGTCCGCAGCCAACCGCGCTAAGCGGGTGGTCCGGTGGAAGGACAGGCGGAGCCGCGTGAAGTGAACCTCTCTCTACTCGACGCAGTTTCCTTGTGCGTCCAACAGTGGCGACGCGAAGGCCACGGAGTTGCTACGCTCGAGAACGCCAGGACGGGCTCAGCGGTGCCGGCTCAGCGACTCGGCCGTCACGATATTCCAGAAGCCACCTGGGCCCCCCCCCCTCCCCACACACCGCCTCTTAAAGAGACCAATGACAAACAGTGCGGGTCGATTCCTCCCCAAGTTCTCTGGGGGGGGGGAGAGGCTCCTCGGCAAGGCGAGCCCTTCCAATAAGCAGATCACGATTGGATTTCCCTAAAGCCGGCACACACGCAAGTGGTGTAATCCCTGCAAATTAGTGGAGCTGCCGCCGCTACGAGCGCAGCGCCACATGTGCGTGAGGCCATCTGTGCGCCTGCACGCCCTGCCGGCGTAATGCGCAGAGTCAACACGCGCTCATCCACTTAGGCAGGCTCGCCGCAGCACGGAGCCTCCGTAGCAGAATGTAAACAATGAACGAGTTACAATAATTGCTTAATTTTTATGCTTTTAGTTTTTCATTGTTTGATGATAAATGTAGCACGGACGCAAATATCCCATATGCTGCATCCTTAGAGACCACGGCGGCAAGTGCTGTTGGAGAGCAGCCATTCGTAAACAAAGATCCCACCCCTGTATCGCATTAACAGACTCTGTGAAGGAGGGCACACGAGGGGGTGGGGGTGGCCAACACGACGCCCGACCTGCCTTTGCCTCCCTATTGACAATCTTTACACACTGCACCAGACACTCATTGAGGATAAATCGACAGAGGTGGAGGCCCAGAACCGGTTCAAATATTCACAACTGGTGTTGGTCGTCAGCAGGAATTGAACTCTAATGGGCGGGTTCACAGCGCAGTGCGTAACCACGACACTACCGTTCCCCAGAAAACACGCGTTCACACACGTACACAACACAGCGACTTCCTCATTCAACCTCGCTGGCTGTTGGTGCAAGTGCTGTTGGTGAGAACCTATCAAGGCCAGCACCGCACTCCACAGCAGGGTCTCACTCCTATCACCTAAGTAGGCGGCGATGAAACACAGAGAGGCATACTGTACAGGTGACACGCCTTGCCACTGCTGGCGGAACCTCCACCAGAGGGAGCTCACGACAGCTGCTCTAGACGGACCCAGGTTCACCCTTTCACAATGACCAAACGTTTCTTAAGAGGTGGGAGTACCCACACTTCACCGCACCACACACACGTCCTGCCGACTGACTGCATGTGCTGTATACAACCTAGCTTTCGACCGCCGCGCCTGGAGATCGAACCGCTGGAGACCCCTGCTCTGGAGTAGGTCCGGGGTGCCGGCCGCCACTCCGCATCGTGGCAGCAGCTTCCCTCTCGCGGACCAGTCCAACGATAGCGGGATGGCAACGTACAGCAATCCCCGATATAAATAAACGCGTGTACGGAAATAATTACTTGATTCCTTTTCAAAAGACTGAGACGAGGTATAAGCACGCGGAGAGGGCCAAGATAACCACCAACCCAATCGGTCCTCGCCCCACCACCCCCCGGCCAGACTTCTGAAAAGTGCCACTTGGAAAGCGCCCGCGAGCGTTCCCATATCGCGGCGCGGCAATTACCCGAACCTTCCCACAGCCTCCGTCGGCAGGATTTATCAAACATTCGAGGAAATTAAATCCGCTGGGAGGTGAACGTTTGTTTTGACAGGAGACGTTGCACGGGCCAAAAAGGCATCAGCAGGGCCTTGATGAGGCTCGCGTTTCGCCCCTAAACAAGGCGAGCCCGCGTATTTTTCTTTCTCAAGGATAATTTCTTCGCTAAAGTTTGCATTCCGTGTTTGCCAAGCAACTGTGAGGACAGGCGAAAGCGGGACTTTAAAAATAAATCTTCCCAAGCAAAAAAAAATCAATAATGATCTGATACTTAAACACTTAAAAAAGACTGCTTAAAAAAGTAATGTAATTATTTGCAAACAACAAAAAAACTTGTTTCAGACCAGTTTAAGTCAAACGGTCGTTTATAGCCAATGTGACCGATGCCACCTTCCTCCTGCCGTCCCATCGCCACCATGTGGGCCACAGCCCTCTGGGTGCCACTGCAGCCGTCAGTGCCGTGCCATCCTTCTCTATCCCTGCGATCGCGCCCCACTCACGGCATCTCCTCGCCGATCCCATCCACAACGCCTTTCCCCAACTAAGCATAGAAAGGAGCCAGCGTGAGCCAAACAATGACACGTGCAAATACAAAGCAATGACGAAAGCAACCAATTGCGGATTTAATTCTGATCAGGGGCGGAGCCAGGATTTCAGGCCGGGGTGACATTCAACAAATTTTAATTTCAAGAATGATTAGAGAGTCAGGCTGTTGAACTAGACGCCATCGGTTGGCGACACACTCTGACAATGCAGTTGCACGGAGTCCGCCAGACCGAGTGTCGTACACTTATACTCAGAATGTCACCCCTGTCACCCCCCCTGGCTCCGCCCCTGAGTCTGATTATCTTTCGATAAAAACGTATACCTCCGTCCTCATTATCTCAGAATGAAACTAAAGTACAGCATTAAAAGGAGACATGGAGCAATGGGCTGAGCCCATAAACATGTTGCACTTGATGACCCGGCTTCGCCACGGTTTGCACCACACAGCAACGGCAGCAGCAGCAGCTGCGGTGGCAGCAGCTCCAGGCCCTGGCACGGCCACGAGGAGCCCCCTAGGGGACATGCCGACACCGCAGCCAGGCTTTCATTGTGAAACTATTGTTATTACATTGACGTGCAACAATCGTACGCATTGCAGTGACGGCTGCAGGACGAGCGACAGTTACAGCTGCAGGGCGTGACAAATCCCACTTGCTGTACTGCCCCCTGCAGCCACCACTTTGGTCGCCCACCAAGTGGTCGTCTAATGCGCGTCATTACTGCTCTCATCACCACGTGACCCAGCGACCCATGCCCAGCCTGCCAATGTCAGGGTTAGAGACACGCATCCCGTCTCGCCGGTTGGGTTTATGGTTCGAGCACTTTGCTCAGCCAAGAGACCGAGTTCGAATCCCAGGCAAGGGATGATTTGACCACAAGATCATCCGAGACTGCCTTGCGGGAGATCAAGTGCTCATCCATTCCATATACAAGCCCCTGCCACAGCAATGTGGAATATCCATGACTGCCTCAGGACATACAACAGATTTACCGTATATGCCTTATCATGATGTGCTTATTCCCCCCCGTATTTCAAAGCAAGAGTTGGAGATGCGTCTGATAACGCAGAGAATGAACGCTGCGTTTTCCAGAAGACGTGTTTCAAACCACACCAGAATCACCCTCTCCCCCCTTTCAATGCAACGCGTGCATTACCATATTGCGGAAGACGGCTTCTCCATATTATACATTATAAACCACTATCTTGTTTTTTTCTTCTTGGTTCTATCGGTAAAGTCACGTAGAATGGAAATAAAATAATGAAATAAAATAATAAAATTCTCACGACGTTTCGGCCACACGTCGTGAGAATTTCATTATTTCATTTCATTATTTTATTTCCATTCTACGTGACTTTACCGAAAGAACCAAGAAGATGAATCCCTGCAGTCACGAAAGCTTTAAATCGAAATTCACTCTCGTGTTTCGCAACGACGTCAAACGTTCGCGGTGCGTCTCGCTTTCCCGGGTGTCCGATGGTCCGGAGAATAAGGCAAGCACGCTGGCCCAAGGCCCCACTGCCTCGACCACCGCCGCACGTCCGGCTATGTCAGCCCGGCTGGTCTCCTGCGTAAGTAACGACGTTCAAAGGCGGTTGCCTCTCCGTGTGTGCGGAGGGCACAGAGGTGAGCAGCACACCGGTAAGGGGAGGCAGGGATCAAGGGGCTTGGCCGTCACAGGGCTGGATGAGGCAACGGAGATTAACAACTCGGTCACGGCGAAAAGTAGCAACGGCTCAGGTGCGTAGCCCTTTGAAGATTACAAGGACATATTATTATTATTATTACACGTCACCTATTCGTACAATCCACTGCTCGATAAGGGCCCCCCCGCGCTGCGTGGGTTGTGGGGGGCTATTTGACCGTACTTCACCACGCTGGTCATTGCGGGTTGGGGAATGCGGGGGGCACAGACGTGGGAGCGCAGAGTACAGTACAACAATGGGTTGTGCTGCACTGCCCTCTGCGGCCCAACCCCATGGCCCCTCTCTCCCATAACAACAAACCCTTCTGTGCACGGCGGTCCCCCATCCCAGCATTATTTATCCAGGCTCAACTTTGCTGAGCTTCTGAGCTCTGGTGAGATCTGGCACATCGCGGGCGAACTGGCGATAGAGGCGGCGTGCACTCGAAACGCGGACGACACGATCAGAAACGCCCCGCCGCCTGCCGACCGCAGCGAGCCCCCAGGCTATTCTACGACGAGGCCGCTCTATGGCAGAGGTGACGCGGACCAACAGTGCCTCTTGTTGAGGCGTTCGCGGTTCGAGCCTCCTGGCCGCCCTAGTTAATGCACAGCAGCGCATCACATTAACCGCGGGTGCGCGCCGTCTGCTTTCACGGCAGACGCTAAAGATTCCACGACGTCATTTGAAATAAAGAGGAGGCCATGCGTTGCCGGCGTCACGGTCTAACAGCGATCGATTGCTCGCAAATGACTGAACTAGGAAGCCACGGTCCATCACCGCCCCCTCCTGGCAGATTTAAGCCCACTTGGTGACCACTTCTGGGCTTTGCTTTGTGCCACACAGAGACAGCTGCCAGCGTGGGGGTACCCCTGCCACAGCGTGCCTCTAGGTGTACCGCGTCGGACGCGCAGAACAAATATCACGTGTTGACGATGACGACGACGATGGCGACGTGGCTACCGACAAGGCGGAACCCATCATGGCCACGGACACAGATTGCCTTCAACATTAGAGAAAGCATCACACAGTGGGCATGGACGAGGCCAGCCAGTCGCCATGTGTACGTTGTGTATAACTGGCCGTGCTGCCAAACATCTGCTTGTGATAATAAACTATATAGGGCAGTGCGCTCAAGCATTTGGCACGGAATCAAAAGCGCTGGGAAATTGTACATGTGTATGTGCATCAACTCGTCAACGTACGTGCACTGTATTATTTTACATATAGATGCACGTAAATCTATCAGTTTAGGGCAAAAGCAGTCGTCCTTCAGAGAGACTGATCGCCGCTCACAGGAATTTAGAATCTCCACTGCTGGTTTAGATTCAGCCAAAGCAGGTAGCCGGCCCTCGCGGGGAGGGGGGGGGGGGCGGGGGGGGGAAGCGTTTGAGTTGAAAAATGCCGCTGCTTTGACTTGTCTTTTGTTAACCTCCTTCACGTAGCCAAGAGCGAGATCCCACCTGACGGCGAAGGAGAGCAGGAGAGGACCCGGCAGCTGCTTGGGGAAGTCGTGGTCCAGGACGCTGCGGTCCATGTGCAGCCAGTTGTGATGGCCCCTGCCGTCACACGGACACCACCGGCGCGTGGTCACCACCGGCAGGGAGGCAACGGTTCACCGCCTCCACCGTTCAACAAAGCGTCACGACGATGCAGCGACAGTCGGTATTGGTGACGATTTAAACTCGCAACGCGGCGCCGCGCGGCGTTCGCTCGCTCGCGTGGAGAGAGAACGACGCAGAGACGCCGGGAGGAGGAGGAACCACAGAGGAGCTGTGACATCTGTAGACGCTGTGGACTCAACTGTGATGCGAATATATGGACTCGATTGTCCTGACACCATCGGATCATCAGTGGTGTTAATTTACAGAATGCCTTGTGATGCATCAACGGAACATATAATCGACAATGATCCATCATCCGACACAGCCATTATGAGCCCTCTGAGCCATGATCCATCCAGCCATCACAGACAGATTCACTTTTTTTAAGTCCTCAGAGGTTACATATTTATTTATTTATATGAAAACCAATAACAAAAAATATACGACAAGGGCTTTTAAGCGATAAGAGATTAAAAAAAAAACTACTTGGAGGAATGCAAAAAATGTGAAACTTGAACAATTGCCACGGTGCCGACAGCAGTGTGTGGTTTAGGTTGGCAGTGCGCAGAGGGAGGTCTGAGCCCAGCACTGGGGGCTGTTGTTGGGCGGCTCCGTGGGAAACCCTGAGCCAGCGCGCAGGTGCACGCCGCTCTCCCGCCAAGCGCTTTCAAGTCATCAGAAAGAGTCCAAAATCCGGCGTGACAATTGCGCAACGAACGTTGAAAATCTCGATTGAGGCAAGATCATAAAAAATCATTATTATAATACCATTGCTGACATTATTTTACTTCGTTGCATAGCCCAATTTAGTGCACAACGTCTCATTCATTTGAACGTAATAGTGCTGCTTAGCATACGGACAGGTTTGAGTGCTCCACTCACAACGGGAAGAATGAGAGTTCACGTCTTGGGCCGATGGCCTGCTCAGTCCGTCGTACTTCTGGGGTCATTTTAATTGAGCAGCGCTTTGTGGCCAAACCAAGGGTGGTGCTATCCGTACAGAGAACCGGTTCCTGTCGTGGGAATGTGGATTCTTGTTCGATGGGCATACGCTGCACACTATGATACGTCGTAACTTTACGAACGGGCACCTGTAAAGTGTTAGGCGATACAAAGCTGATAAAGTTCCCTGCCTCTGATCAGTAAACGCTGGCATCTGCAGGTCATGTGAGAGTCGGACTTTACAAATGAGTGTTTCACGGTGTCCTGCTGCTTGACGTTGTGCTCGCGGCCGTGTACGGCACGGCCACAGCAGGGAGCCAAGTGGCAGGTGGCCGCACACCCCAAGCAGTCAGTACACACGCAGCGCACACATTCACAGTCAGCAATGACAACGATCGCCAGACTGTTGGGGGCAAGTGCTGTTAGCGAGCACCTATGAAGGCCGGCACGGTACATGAGGGGGTGGGTGGTCAGCACCACGCCCGGCCGCCTTTGTCTCACCAATGATAATGTTTACACACAACAGGTTTAAGGCTGAATCGACTTAGAGGAGGCTCAGAACCAGTTCAACTATTCGTCACTGTTATTGGTCGTGAGCTGGAATCGAACTCGGGTTGCCGGGTTGGTAGCGCACTGTGCTAACCACGGTGCCACCGCTCCACACGCAGTCGGCACACGCACACACAGAGGGTCAACACACAACACACACATTCGCCACAGTCAGAACACACACGCGCACACACACACACATTCAGTCAGCAAACGCTTTGCACAGGGTTATCTGTGGGGCCGCCACGGGCATTTGTGACTGTGAACCACTGGACGCAGCACGGACGCCCCCGGCCTGCTAAGCATGGCTGGGGCCCCGGCCTGCTAAGCGTGGCTGGGGCTCCGGTTGGCACGGCGTTCTGCGGCGCTGGCAGCGTCCCGCGCGGGGTTGAGCGGAGGGAGCGCTTGGGGCCTTGTCCTACGAGGCGTTTGATGAACGCTGCTCCACTAATTCAGAGGTAGCAACAATGGGGCTTTTGTGCGTCCTCCTGCAAACATTTTGGCGATATCAATTTACACATGGCAAAAAAGAAGAAATTATAAACGGTCGGCGCGCAGGTTGAAGTAGTTCCGCAGTTTAAAAACCGAGCAACAACAAAAAAAAATTCTGACTTGAAAAAGAAAATCCATCCCATGGGAAAACGTAAACGACGCTTCATTAACATGTTTAAGTGAACACTTCGGGAACCCCCCACCCCTCCCCCCCCCATGATTTACAGCGTTTTCCTGTACTGCAAGCTCCCTCAATGTAAACACAGAAAATGCCCATTTCAGTTTGTGTGTGTGTGTATATGTGGGGAGCGGTAGTGTAGCGGTTAGCGCGCTACGCTATTAACCCGGCGGTGGGAGTGTGATTCCCGCTCACAGTCTCGGTGTGTAAACACAGTCTCAGTGTGATTCCCGCTCACAGTCTCGGTGTGTAAACATCGCCACTGGGGAGACAAAGGCAGTCGGGCGTGGTGCTGGCCACCCACCCCCTCGTGTACCGTTCCAGCTTTCATAGGTTCTCAATAACAGCACTTGCCCCAACAGTCTTGTTAAGGCTGTACAGGGGATCTTTCTTTTTTTGCATATAAAAAGGGGGTTTACTGGCCAGGTGTTGCTGCTGCTGGCGGAGCGCAAGGCTTGTGTAACTGGGAGGTTGCGAGTTACAATTCCTGCTCAGGGGGTTGAGTCAGCCCCATCATCCATCTGGGGTTGGTAAAATCAGTACCACTTTTTTGCTTTTTCTTCGGGCATTTCTCGTCCCGTTGGCAGCGGTCGTGGTTTCATGGCCGGCACGCGGGACTTGGTTTGACCCCCCAGGCTCTGTCCACACAGCAGTATAGACGAGTTCACCGTGGTATAGACGAGTTCACCGTGGTATAGATGAGTTCACGGTGGTATAGACGAGTTCACCGTGGTATAGACGAGTTCACCGTGGTATAGACGAGTTCACCGTGGTATAGACGAGTTCACTGTGGTATAGACGAGTTCACCGTGGTATAGACGAGTTCACGGTGGTATAGACGAGTTCACCATGGTATAGACGAGTTCACGGTGGTATAGATGAGTTCACGGTGGTATAGACGAGTTCACGGTGGTATAGACGAGTTCACCATAGTATAGACGAGTTCACCGTGGTATAGACGAGTTCACCGTGGTATAGACGAGTTCACCGTGGTATAGACGAGTACACCGTGGTATAGACGAGTTCACCGTGGTATAGACGAGTTCACCACGGTGAGTCTGGCCAGCGAGTTCGATTTCCGCTCACGGCCACCAACACCGGTGACGATTATCTGAACCAATCATGGGCCTCCCCTCGGTTAACTCAGCCTCAAATGAGTACCTGGTACAGTGTTTAAGCATCGCCACTGGGGAGACAAAGACGGCCGAGCGTGGTGCTGGCCACCCACCCCCTCGTGTGCCGTGCCGGCATTCATAGATCCTCGCTAACAGCACTTGCCCCAATGGTCTCTGTTAGAGGCTGCACGGGGATCGGTGTCTTTGTTTTACCCCTCTTTATAGAACAGCCGTGCCCACTGCTTCTTCTCTGCAGCGTCTTGCGATGCGATCCGATCCGTGCTGTCCTCGCACTCGGCTCGAGAGATTCTCTCGTTTTCAATGGGAGCAGGAGGAACACTGCAAACGAGCAAGCCGCTCCGACACAACGCTCGGGTGCGACGTGACGACTCCTTGTCGCTACGTCGCCACGTGTCTGTGGATCTCTTGGCAGCTTCACGTTGGACCTCTCTCTCTGGTTGCTCCCACACGTCCCATTTGCCCTAAAATAAAATCCGCATGTTGTTTATTTATGTTTACTTGTGTGTATGTGTATTTGTGTATATGTGTATTTGTGTATACTGGTGTACATGTGTATTTGTGTATGTGTATTTGTGTGTATGTATATTGGTGTGTATATATTGGTGTACATGTGTATTGGTGTACATGTGTATTTGTGTGTATATTGGTGTACATGTGTATTTGTGTGTATATTTGTGTACATGTGTATTTGTGTGTATGCGCACGAGCCATCCTTATCCCCCACGATGCACACGTTCGCGTACTTTGCGAACGTGTGCATCCAAATTGGTTTGTGTAAAGCTCCGTAAACAAGTGGATTTTCTCGTGGCATTTGCGAAGCTCAAAACCACCCACATAGCGCCGCCCCGTGGTGCCGGTGGGGTGCGACTGTGGCGTGTGAAGCGACTGCTTTGCTGTCTTTCGATCGGGAGGTGCCTTGCTGCCTGCTATTGCACGGCACAGCTGCACCCAGCGAGGTGCCCGTGCGGCCTCAACAGCCACCGCAGCCGGACTCCCTCAATACGCACGCTGCTACTGTCTGTGGACCCTTTCACGGTGCACTGTGAAAGCCGCTCGGTCTAGGGAGCTTGGCGCCCAGAGGGAAACGTTAAACAGACTGACTGTTTCGCCTCATACACAGTGTGTACAATCACCGCACCGCAGGTCACAACAACACAGTCTCCCAAAACTCACCCACTCACTCACTCACCCATTCACTCCCCCACTCACTCACCCATTCACTCCCCCATAGACTCACCCATTCACTCACCCAGCCACCCGCTCACCGCACTGCCAGCTACAATGCTGCTCTTGCTGCTTCTTCCCTCACACCGCTCCCCTTTGGAATGCCCTCCCATCATCGTCTCTTTGCCCCAAGCTCTCATAATACTCTAAACACGTGACGTCGATTCTAAATGTAGAGGGGAAAAAACCAGAGGACAGGGAGAAAAATCCACACGACCACGGGGAGAGAGAGACACGCAAGCTCCAAATATACAGGCGTCAGGTTCGAGATCAAACCCACAACCTCCGGTATACCAAGCGAGATGGTTAACATCTCACCACCGGAGGAGACCACGGGAGCCTCCTCCGTGAATCGCACCGGCGGGCGGGGAGTGCCAGACACGAGCGCCCTGGGGATGAACTCACGCATCGTCGAAGAAGGAGAGGCCAAAGAACTCCTTCTCCTTGAGGTTGAAGTGGGAGGCGACCAGGTCCAGCAGCTCCCGGCCCTGCAGCTTGGGCTGTAACAAAACGCACGACGCGCTGTCAAGACGGGGGGCGAGCCGCGGCGGCACCGGAGTCCGTGATCCGAGCCCCCACGAGGCCAACCCCGGTTAACGTTGCGGCCGGATTCACCACGAAAGCGACGCCGTCCGCTCCTCGGTGGACGCCAAAGATCCTGTGACGCGATTTCAAAAAGCGCAGGCAGGCCACGTCAATGACCGGATTACGAAAATCCACCGCGCAACGTCGGCCCCCCCCCCCCGCTAATGGAAAAATAAAGGCTGCTTGCAGGCCGGCGCTGCGTCCGCCTCGTGCCGCACAGAGACAGCTGCCGCCGTGGGTCCCCTCGGCCAGGCCGCAGCAGGGCGTTGGATTGTTTGTGATGGGATGCGACAGGAGAGGCTCCGAGTTGCCGAGGGATTGGGCGCCGCAAATCCTCGCCGTCGCCCTCAAGCGCATCGCGATGGCCGTCGGCGCACGAGGGGCAGCTTCTGCTCACGTGAGGTTACGAACTAACCTCGCGGTCGGGGATCGACTCGGCACGTCGTTTCTCCAGGGTTGATGGCACGGTTTACTTTCCTGGAAGCTAGCAGCGGTGGTTGTGCAGTTGCAAGACTCCCCTCCGCCACAAGAATGTGGAATTTGTACCGCTGTGCTCAAGGCCAAAATAAAAACTTGTTATCAGGGAGACGCTTTCGCCTTTGAAAATGTAATTCCTGAGGGAAACGAAGGAGGTCCCAAGTTTCTAGACAGATATTTCTTTAAATGTTGGGGAATCCCCGTGCAGAGACCAGGGCCCCCCACGTTGCCACAGAGTGGGACGACATCTAAGGATTTTGTGCCTGCCACCGTTTGCCAGTGACCTCTTGTCCAACGAGCACCACTCTGGATGCGAATGACCAACGAGCACGCACAGCGATTTCCCTTCACTTTGCCCGGGCGGCCGGGTCTGTCGCTCAGCACGTTACGACTGGGTAATGCAACTCGAGGCGTAACGATTTGCACCGCGGAAACGTCACCAATCGTCGCAATTCAGCACTGCACTTTTATACAAAAGTCAAATTTTGCTGTAAACAGTGTGGTGAATGCAGCAGCCACTAATGGCTGCAGATATCCACATGTGCCCATTAACCGCAACATCTATTAATTACAAAAATATCTCCCCAGCATGCAATTCAATGCATGTATGGGGATGAGCTTAAGAATTAACTTTAATCGATGGCATGGTTCCTCGTAATAAATAGCTCGATGTGACGCAACTATTTGGAGCCTATGGAGCCGCCCAGACGCCTCCAACAATACCACCCGCGAAACCAACGTTTTCAAACGTTCAAAAGCGGCTCAAGCGAAGCGTTAATCGGCCGTGGCTTGGCTGCGGTAGAGCCGGCGGCGTTGTGAGCGAGGCCGAATGAATGCGGCGCCTTGTACTGCACGAGACCCCCTTCACCGTACACTCGGTAACTCGTACAACGTGTGTGCATTCGGGTTTTAAATATATTACTTTGCTGGCAAACGAGGTATTTTCGTTTGAGCTTAAGTGCTATTTTTTCAGCCAGTGATTTTTTTCAGGGTTTTTGTTGTAGCGGAGGCACCGCCAGCAATGGGTCCAATTTATATGTTTATTTAAAAGCTCCGGTTAAAATCTTTGATTCGCAATTGTAAGGTTGACAGTTCATATCCGAGGTCAGGGGTTAGACTCGGCCTATCATCCTTCTGCGGTCGACAAAGTTCCACTTTGTGGGAAACCAACCATGGTTGGGCCTATAGCGAGACTAGCGCCGAACTTAGGAATAATTATTGTTATTAATGTCGGGCTTTATTTAAAATGCTTACATTTTAGGACCGTCCCCCTCTTGGAAACATTTCTAGATCCACCTCTGCACATCCTGAGCAGAAGAATCAATTAACAATCAATTAATCGATGCATCCTAACGGGCCTAGTTGCTATGCAGCACACAGCGTTCAGGCAGGGCTGCCGAGTGCATTGCCAGGCAGTTCAGTGGCCATGAAAGGACCAGGTCGTGCCGACGGAGTTCGGGATGTCAGTGGCAACTCGGCGACGAATCAGCGGCAGTCCACCGTTTCAGTCCACGATTTCCTTCACTATCAATGCTGCTGGGGAAAAAGAAAAAAAAATGGCGCAGAGAGCCGATTGGGTTGTTGTTGATGAAACTGGCCATATTTATGTATTAATGTGTTCCTCACTGCGTTCGCGAAGAGAGCGGTGCAACGGTGCTGTACCTCACACGAAACAGCCACAGAGTCGCACTAACATCTGCTTAAAGCTAGCGCAGTCGACTCCACATTATGTGGGGAGGGAGGGGGAGGGCGGTAATGGGGAGAGAGGGTCTAAAACAAAAACACCGACAATGCCACGCACACGGCAATTTATTAGGCCGCACAACACGAATCGCTTACGCGCCGACAATGAGGACAACGACGTAGAAGGCGGGGTATCTGTTTGCATCCTTTACTAAAGTAACGGTGAACGGGTGGGCGGTCACGTCGGCCACGGAGCCGCAAGCGAGGAGCGGCCGATAATTCAACCGTCGCGCGTCACCTGAGGATAGATTTGTTTTAATTTGTTAACTGTACGTGTCTAACATTGTTATGGTTCACTGCGAATGCCCAACAAGACTTAAAGGCCAAACTTAAGGCAGTCCAAAGCAACAATTCTAGGGGAATGATCGCCAAGTCTGTCTGTTGGGAAGGGTCGTTATTTTTTTTGTTTTTGATTAAAATCAAAGTAAGGGTGAACAAAGCCCCCTCCCCGGCGCGTTATGCCTCGTCTGTGGCTCCTTTGTTGTACTCGACATGGCCCAGGAGTGAAGCTTTCCTGATTCATGAGATGGGGGTTTTTCTCTAACAAGAGTTGGTTTTTCGCCAAATAGACCACGGATCTTTTATTTGTTTAGACAAATAGCGGCCCTTTAAACCGCCCGCCTTAAATCATGGCAGCAATGCAGGCCTCGGCCTGGCGGGAAACGGATTTACATTGCGGAGAGCCCCAGAGATTTGAAGATTTCTGTGAACAAAAAATGTATGCTTGAAAATATTTTTTGGGACATCAAACTTGGTCTTCAATAAGCGAAACATTTTTTGAGCGTCACTGGCAAATGTTTTATATGAAAATCGATGTTATAATGTAAAATTTTTGCAGTGATTAGCCGATGGCACTGTGAACCCGGCGACCTGAGTTTGATTCCTGGTCACAACTAATCAGTCCTCGGTGCCCCCCCATCATCACCATCCTGCATTTGACCAGCGTGGTGAAGTATGGTCAAACAACCCCCACGACTGAAACTGCCATGGGGAAGCCTTCATCAAGCGGCAGATAAACAAAAGGCCACAAATTAGTGTCATGCACGTACGGAACGGATGATAATCCATTCAGATTACAGCAAGGGGAATGGGGTATTTGCAAACGCAGAGTAACTCGTTTTAGATCACAAGTTGTCTCTAAGTGAGGTGGTGCTCATTCCTCTCAGTGAGCATTGCTCCTGCGAGCGCAAGTTAGAAGGAAAATTTAAATTTGGAAATTGGAACTGTAGGTATTTACCCAGGAAAGTCACCCCGAGTCCCAGGACACTCTTTCAGGAGAGTCCTGCAACCACTTTGCGTATTTTTGTTACATGTGTTTGACCAATTAACGATGATGAGTTGTGTTTATTAAACGTATGACAAGAAAACCCACTCTTCGTGCGATGGGACAACACTCCCCCACATATGGATAGATGGCGATTAGTCCACTTGCCGTACGGCCTTCTCCTGGCCAACCACGGTATGGCACCACTTTCCTGGACACCACTTTCTTGGGAAACTCAACAGTGATAATTGATTTGAGACTGGCCACCGTCATGGGAATGTGGAATTTCCAACACTGGCTCGGGGCTGATAACCTCATTGCTTGCTGTGGCAGGGAGAGGCGTTTAATTGTACTCCCGGGTCTCCCTTGCAAAAGATCATCGCAAATTTCAATCAGCTCACTCGCATGGCCACATTAAGGGTGCTGAACTTAAACGTGCTTCGTTAAAAGTGGCGTCTCATAATCCCGTGGTAATTCTGTGTTGCCCTCCCGTGTCTCCGTCGCAAAGAGCACAATCATTTTCAATTGTCACTTCCCAAAATTGAGAATTTTTTTTATGTCTCAACGATGCTAATAACACCAGCTAGGACAATAGCACTTGCTCACAATGTAACTCGGATAACCTGGGTCTCCTTTATAAACCGGACTTCCCCTAGTGAATTAAAGCAAATGTACATTAATTTGAATTGCATTAAAATTGCGTCTTAATGCTCACTGTGTAAAACTATCACTGCTGCAGTTCATAAACGTGGTCGTGAACAAATCAAACAGAACGAGAAATGTAAAGTGTTCAAAGAAGCGCGGAGAGACGCACACTTGGGATTACGCCGAGAGACCGAAAGAGAAAGCGCGTGGATGAGAGAGCGATCGCAGGTTAAGGACGTAAACGGGGAAGTGGGGCTTGGGCCGGCCGTAGCACTGCCAGAAAGGGACAACAGCCGAGGGTCAAGAATAATCACGGAGTGGCAGCCAAGGAGTGGAACTCTCCCGAGAACGCTGCCACCGAGAGGAGACGGAACGGCGAGACGAACACTTGCGTGCCGGTTGGCAGTGGGATCATTGCATCGGAGGATCGTGAAAGTTGGCCGCGGCTCGGGCCGGTCTTCATCCAGCAGTGGATTGACCACGGCCCGATGGTGATGAACGGCAGGCTACCAATCCCAGCTCTCCGTCGCAAAAAGAGCGCGGCGGTGAAAGTCAACGAGCATCGTCCGCGACGGACGGCATCGCCGCCGGGGTCGGAGAGGGGCAGTCAGCGGGCGGCGGCACATTACGTGTTCACTCGGTCGCCATGGAGACGCGGATTTGAAGCACGCCGGGCCGATCATCCCGGCGAATAGCGGTGCTGCAGGGCCGCCGGCTCAACGAGCGACCGTTACCCGGCACTCGGGGGGACGGGGGGGGGGGTAAGGGGGTGCGCGGAGCAACTCGAAGTGTCACGCAAATCACCGCGAGTGGGCGAGCCCCAAGCAGTCGCGCCAACGCCGGGGCAACCGCCACTTTGTGAAGAGCAGGAGGAGGACGGTGACCACTTTCCTGTGAATAGGGGAAGGCTTAGTGGTGAAATAAAGCTGCCAAAAACAGGCGAGGGTTGGAGTGCTTTTGGAAATCTAAAGTCACAAACGAAAGCATCGTGCAACTGCTCTAAAACCAACGGGATTGTACTCGGTGTGCGCATGACCCCCAGTATGGAATACAAATCACGAACGCGGAGACGGACGGAGAAAGTGGAGCCAAAGCTGAGAAGTGTGCAAAGCGGCGTGGAGAGATGCGTGCTTGGGACGGATGTCGAGACAGGAGGCGGAACACATGGATGAGAGGACACGTCCAAGTTAGAGTCATCGGACACATGAACGCTGCGACCGATACAAGTTCAAGTGAACACCGTAACTTTCCAAAAATAACATGATAGTGCACAGCTTACCAGCACATGGGGATACAACTCGCTGGCTATTTATTAATTTATTTAAAGGCTCCATTTTTATTTATTCGAAAAACAGCTACTTCTCTATGGATTGGTTTACTTCGCAAATAAATGAGGTTTACATGTGATTCAAAAAAATGTTGATAACTCTACCATATTTTTTGTATCGCCCCTGCTGCTGCTGCTGCTGCCACCGCGATGGCGTAGCGGCGGAGTAGCGGCGGCGTAAGCAAGGTCGCAACCTCGACACAGAACCTCCCTGGGGCTTCACCCACAGGCCCAGGGTGCCCCTTGCTGGCGCGAACCACGTCACGCCGGTCTCTGTTGCCAGCGACTCCCTCGCTGCACGTCCAGAGCCCTGCCCCGGGCAACACGCGGCCGTCCGCTTCTCGTGCTTCCTAAGTAGAGGACGGCCAACGCAGGCGGCAGCATCGTGGACGCGATAATCTCCCCACTCCACACACCCAATCCACTTAGCCCCGACAAACCCCCTAGTTACTGGCAAATGAACTCAACGTGGACTGTACCGGATGGAGGTTTTTTTTTCCTTCCCAGCGCACGAGCGAGCCCACGCCGTGGGATTCAAGTGAAGAAGAGGAGGAGGAAGAGGAAGAAGAGGAGGAGGAGGAAGAAGAAGAGGAGGAAGAAGAAGCGTTCCCTTGTGGGAACTGCTCCGAGCGTCACGACAGCACAAGGGCTCCGTGAGACGACGCCACGGAACGATCGCCGCAGCCGCTTCCACTGGCCTCTCTCACACAGCGCCCATTTATGTTCTGCAAAGGGCAAAGTAGATTGCGCAACCATCCGGTGACATTTATTTACGTTCGTTTTTTTTTCTTTCCCCAGTGGAGCTGGGCAGGGACTCCGTGCAACAGACACAGCACGATGGGTTTTGCGTTTTGGTGAGCAGGGTGAAACCATCTACTCGCTGCACTTAGTATACGATTAAAACGACAACAGCAATAATACTACATCACCTATCCCAGGCAGCCCTCACCATCAGCCCTAGACCCTTCTCAAGAGGCTCCTGCGCTCGGATGTTTGCCCAATTCAATTAGCGGGCACTTTGCATGCGGAAGGCGAAAAACCGTGCGTAGGCGGAGATCACAGAGGTACACACAACCGGTTCATCAACCCACTTGCTGTACGGCCAGTGTGTTACCACCTGCCAGGCCCAGCGGGTTTGGGGGGTTTCACAGATCTGCGTTCCACCAACCCTCGCCTCCAGAGTGCTGGATTAGCCACGTGCGAGCCATCCCACACATGACCTCCCCCTGCAAGTGGGGTCACGCACGACGGTAATTATGATTGGTCATCGCGAACACGGGCAGAATTAGCGAGGGTCATCAACTCAGCCACTCATTAACTTAGCCACCCAGGAGTCTTCCTGCTCAAACCAGCAGCGTGTGGCAGTGCTCGCACCCGGTGTGAAGATAGTGTACACGTGTGTGTGTGTATGCGCACAGGTCGACTCGGTCTCAAATGAGTACCTGGTGCGGTGTGTAAACATGGCCACGAGGGAGACAAAGGCGGCCGGGGGTGGTGCTGGCCACTCACCCCCTCGTGTGCCGTGTTGGCCTTCATCGGGGCTCGCTAACAGCACTTGCCCCAAACGGCTATACGGGGGTTCGTTGTCTGCGGAAAGTGACAGATGTTTCGTACAGAGGAGAGATGAGAGAGAGCGACGTGGATGAGCGGAACAGGTGAGATCACGTGGGAGAGAACTGCACGAGATGTGTGATCATGTGACAGAGAAGTTAAACAGACGGTGCGAGTTCAAAAATGTTGCAGAGATGTGTAACGGATGGCGTCAAAGTGTGAGCGCAATGAGATGCCGAGTGATATAAGTTTCACGAGAAGCGAGCGTGAGATCTACGAGATGTGATGTTTACGATTTGCGAGACATGATCGCGAGAGATGCGAATAAGCGGACAAGATATCAGAGAAGGCCGCGTGTGCAAGAGAGGCGCCGGAAAAAACTTGCTGTACGAGCACGGGAACAAGAGGCAACGAATCGCACAAACCGACAGCACTCGGCAACAAACCCCCAGCGAACGAGGGGCATGGAGCCACGGAGTCATGCGGGCGCAGGTTCGTTACCTGGACTAGCAGCTCCAACTTGCGGGCGTCCAAGAGATGGATTTGGCAGCGCCGGCCCTCCGCCATCTGTTCGCAAGAAACACGCCACGGATTAGCGACGCGATGACGGGCGAGCGAGCGGGCGTCCTCACGGGAGACGATGCACGGAGCTCCGGGCATGCGGCCCACGGCGCGGCGCCGGGAGACCCACCATTTCCGACTCGTCGGTTGGAAGAGCGACATTTAAATCACGCTCCGAGTTCCAGGTTCCGCGTCCGCCGTCGGTGTTTAGTGCGAAGGCGCCGGAAGCGTGGCCGGGCGAGGGGAGCCGCCTCGTCCCCGCGAGGTCGCACGTGGGCTCGCGGCGCCGCGGGTGTCCATCGCGTCCCCGCTGGGGCCACGGGCACGGAGCAGCGGACCGCGGCGCAGCTCCAGCCACGGCCGTTTAACTTTTTTTATTTTTTTTCTCCCCTTCCCCTTCTCCTCCTCCCAAACACAACACCGAGTTAAGCACCCATTGGTCTGTTCGTCCAAACACAGCTGAGACCGGCAACTGTGCCATTGGCTCGTAGGGTAGGGGGGTCGGGTGGCCGGGTGAGTGTGGGGGGTGATGGTGGGAGGGAGGCTGAGTTGCGTTCGTGTTGAGTTTTCGGTCGTGGTGCTGGCGGTGGCGAGTCTCTGGTGCGGTGTGTAAACATCGTCACTGGGGAGACAAAGGCGGCGGCCGGGCGTGGTGCTGGACACCCACCCCCCTCATCTGCCATGCCGGCCTTCATAGGTGCTCGCCGACAGCATTTGCCCCAACAGCCTGTTAAGGCTCCACGGGAGATTGTCGTCTTTGTCTGGTAGGGTGAAGCAACAGTGCGTGCTTGGTTGGATGTGTCTGCGTGCCCGAGCGCACGCGAATGTTCCGGCGCGTGTACAGCACCCCAGCCAGCCGAGTTCAACTCCTGTCTGTGCACAACGACACGGCAGGCGGCACACCTCCATCTGTTCAGGGCTTCTCCTCGGGGCAAACTAAAGCCCTTAATAATAAACACGCGCAGAGCCGTGCAGGCGACGTGTAAACGTCGGCGCCGGGGAGACAAAGACAGCCGGGCAAGTGACTCTCTGGCCGCGCCGCAGCCTCGCTCGGTGTGCGGGCTCGCAGGATGCGTCCCCCAAGGTGCGTCGGGCGGAGTGGGAGCCGTGCGCTCGTGTGCACGGCTCTAGGCGGGGACGCCCGGCGGCTGGGGAGCTCGCGTACAGGAAACCCGCGGGCGTGCACCCCGAGCAGCAGCAGTGGCAGCAGCGGCAGCAGTTTGCAATTAAAGTCTGGGGCTGAGCTCGCTGCGAATGCCCCCCGCCCCTGCCACCCCCGCTCCTCGTCCGCAAGGCAGCCCCCAAGCCACGGGACGGCTGCTGAAGCTGCTGTCAAACAGCACCGACACTTCGTTTATCTCCTAGACCGTTGCGGTTTGTTTTTCGAACATTTTTGTGGCGTTGCGAGCACGAAAATAAAAATGTGAATATGCACGCGTGCCGTTCATCGTGCCAACACAGCCGCACTGCCACGCTGGCAAAAAGAGGAATCGATGCAGAAGTGTTGACCGGCTTCCTTCACGACTCCATCTGACAACACAAATTGGAAGAATGTTCAATCCAACTCCCCTCCCTCGTCAATCTCTCAGCGCGCTCAGTAGACACCGTTAAACTCCCAACGCTTCGTTCACGTGGAGTTGTAAATCGTGCTTTTGAGAGTGAACGCCATGCTGTTTACAACTTTGAGGGCGATTGGATTTGTTTATTTCTATAAAGTTTTTTTTAAGGGTCCATCATCTTAGAGGTGGCGGCTCAGGGGACTGACAATGTCCACGCCGGAGCACCGCTGAGATCCTCGATTAGCAATGTCGCTGCGAGTCACCCGTGACGGCAACCAGCTCTCGAGCACAGTGCGCAGACCACTGCGCCACCACTCCCCTCATATAAACATGCAAGACAAAGATCCCCCACATAGCCTTAACAGACTGTTGGGTTGGGGAAAGTGCTGCAAGCGAGAACCTATGAAGGCTGGCACGGCACAAGAGGGGATTGGATAGCCAGGAATACGGCTGGACGACTTTGTCTCCCTCGTGGCGATGTTGACGCACCGCACCGGGTACTCATTTGAGGTGGAGCTGACCTAGGGGAGGCCCAGGACCAATTCAGATAATCGTCACTGCTGGCCGTACACGCACGTACACACACAGGTCACACACGCACAGTATATGACAACACACCAACAAACACGCGTTGCCTTCGCATTGCGTGAGGACTAACGGGAGCGTGTTCTGCAGGTGGCTGACATCTAAACAAACATTACACGTGGATCTGCTTTCTTTGCGGATCTCAATGTCAACATTTCAAGCGGATAGCCAACAAGCGCCTGGGAGCACGGTACCCAGAGGCTCGGCTGTACTGTAGCTGTCGGCAAACACAACCCCGAGCACCGACAGCAGCTCCCTGGGTGCTCACCGAGTCACGACGACACGAGGGCCACGCACGGCATTTCACGCAACGCCGTGGACTGCCACGGCACCGCACATTGGCGTCGCTTCCTTCCTCCTGCCAGATCCAAGCATTCTTCTTCCGTGGTCGGCACCTCACCTCCAAGGTTTGTGTCTCACGCGGTCTCGTCACAAAAATTTAACTATAAACTAAACTAATTTTATGTTACCAGGTAATGGCCCACTGAGCTATATAACTCTTTGTCAGAGGCGACATGGCCACAAATAACAGCTCAACGAAGTGGCTTACGTGGACATTTCTATCAGCCGAATCCTCTAAACACCGTCCTGGTCAAGTGGCTCCCTTGGTGCCCGGGTGGCACTGCAATACCAGTCTGGGTCACCCGCCATCCTCGCCTCCACCCTGCACGCGTGCCCCATTCATGGCAACGCCTTCCCGATCACATCCACAATGCTCTCCTGCTGTATGACCCCACACTCGTCTATCTCTGTTGATACCGGTTGCGTCACATTTGGTCGAATGCATTCTGATGGTGACCTAACACAAGACGCGCACAATGCAGCTCTTCAGGAACTGCCGATGGGTTTTTGCATAATGTGCAACGGCTGTTTGCTTTTGACACATTCTCAAAGCTTTCCTCCTGAATTATATTTTGAAGTTCCAAGTTGTTTATTATATCCTGGAATACAATTGAGCATCATCTGCAAGCCAGAAGTTTTCTTCCAGCTCTCTAACCCACACGATGACAGAAAAACATCAGTCCAACAACGGCCCTGAGCCAATGGTGTGAATTCCAAAATCCTAAGGCATGGGCTGATCTCGCAAGTACAACCGCTGTTGGCCTGCCACAAAGTGGAACTCATTTTATTGACCCTACAAGCACAGTGGACTGATGTGGTCCCTCTATGGCAATGTTAACGAGCTGTCATTTTCTTCCCTGCTCAACATAAAAAAAAACTTTGGCCGGTTTCTCATCTCCATCTGCGTTGTAACGCCAGCGGTGGAAATTCCGCATTGCTATGGCTGGGTCCAATTTTTCACATAACCACTGCGGGCTTCCCACAAAGCGATACCCCCCCCACCCCGATGCTGTGGTCCAAAGCGTAAGCTCAGAAGTCCGTGCCGAGTGCCGTCCCATGCCGGAGGCCTCCGGCGTGGCCCCATTGTTTTAAAAGGCCAGCTCCGCCCTGGGCTGCCACTTACGTCCCAACGCAGGCCACCTGTCCCCCCCCCCCCCCCCCCGTCTATACACGCAGGCACATCTGTCGGCCACGCTGATAATCGGGAATAGAGTCCAAATGATGTGTTGACACAATCGGCCGTTTTACCACTGTACCATCAATCCCGTGAGATTATCACCGGATTAATAGGGGCGATGGGTTGTGTAAATATGTCTTCAGGTTTGTTTTAGATTTCTGATAAGAATTTAAATTGTCTCCCCCACTCAAACAAGCGCAGATCAGCGGTAATCTACCATAGCAGCCTTGAACCGGGCCATTCCACGTTCTCATGCCAGGATTGGTGCCTACATAGGATGACCACGAGTGGGTGAATTGGCACCATTGGGAAAAGCCAATTAAGTCAGACATCAACGATTTAGTTGCCTTGTTTGTAATGTCTAACTTGTATTGTCTGTCTTGTAAGTTCTATATACTGTAGTTTAGTTTGTCATTCGTTTTCCTAGAAAGAGATACAAACACTTATCATCTTTGTGTGAATTGTACACTTTGAAAACAACGGATTCTTAAGCTGATGAGGCTTTGCATGCAACATTAGTGTAACAGCAGATTTTATTCACTTTGTTGATAAATCATTTAGTCATCAAAACAAATGCATTTGCTTCATTATTTACGATGGCGCTGCTGTGCTTCACTCGACGGGTCTAGCCTGTCAGTAGGGGCGATGCTGCTCTGGGATTTTACTCAATTAAGTCATTTGCGAGTATTTTTTTTCAAAGTTGGACTAAAACACCGGCACGCAATGTCCTCCTCTTTTCCGAATAACACCACAGGATCTTTAACATCCATTCCGCAGCAGATGGCATGTCGTTGTCTGGCAGCCGGGCGCCGGCGAGCGGACAGGACGGCAGAACACCACGCTGGATTCACCACTTGTCGTCCTGTGTTGTAAAGCTGAAAGCTGCGAGAGTCTCGTTGTCCCCCGCACCTCCGATTAGCACGGTTGGCTACGTACGGTGCGAAAGAAGTTCGACATACATTCATAGTGGAGGGAGAGCCAGGCGACCTTGCGCCGAGCTGGGAGACGGCTCCGGCTCAGACAGCCGCGCGTCTGTAAACACGCGCGCACGCGCGGTGCAAACACGCCGACTGCATGCAGCTGCCCGAGCCGGTTTGGAGAGTAAATAATCTCCCATGAGGTAACCTATGGGTACTGGCTCTCTGTATTGGGATGAGGGGACCCCGTCCCTGTGTTTGTGACACGGTCGTTGAGCCAGAACCTCCAAGCACCTGGTTTAAAGTCCTACACCCGGATTTTATCACAAGAAGACCGGTGCCTGCGTTACGAGCTCCAGGGTTCAATCCCAGGTCACAGGTGTCCCTATCATGTAGCCATTAGCCAGAGTTAGGTCACGGAACCTGCACCTGTGATGCCCTGGGTTGAAGTCCATTGGTGTGGTAGCTCTTCATCAAGGAGCTAACGTGGTTGCAATGAACAAGAGTAAATGAAGCCATGCGTTCTTCCCTCCTGGTCACGCGGCGTCTTTCTCTTGAGGATGATATCCATATCACGGCACTAAACCCGAGTCTGAGTTCCTGAGTTTATATCACATTATGCTTGTGTTTAGGTGATGAACCAGCAACCCGAGTTCAAAGCCTGGGGTCTTTGTCAGGGTAATAGATAATGCCTCAATCAGTGGCCCCCTCCTCCCCTCTGCTCCGCCTCCGTCCACGGGCGCTGCTTCCCGCGACGCGGCCGTCACGCGCCCGACGGATCCACGCCACGCTGGAGTCGGAGTTGACTCCCAGCTT